GGTATAGGGGACAGGTCGAGGGTGGTAGAGGTGGAGCCAATCTCCCCGTCTTCTGTTACCGAGGAGGAGTCGCGGGGGAAGACGAGTGTCAGTATTATGTTTAGCCGCCCTATTCTCCGCGACTCGACAGGGCTGCACCGCTAATGCAGTGGTGGTGGGGCCGCAGGGTGAGAGGAGTGTCGGTATTTCGGTGCGCTGTTCTCCCTACCCTCCGCGGCCAACACGTGGCGAGCGGCAGAGCCACAGACGAGGTCCGCCGCTGGGGGTTGAGAGGCTTGTTGCTTATTGGCTTTGGCTCACCTGGCTCCCATGGCCTCTGGTCAGCGAACTGTTGGGGGGGAGTTTATGGCCGTGAAAAAGGGGCCGAGTAGGAAGGCGCGCTGAATGTTCTAGCGTGCCTTACCTGGACGAGAGGGGAATTGCTCCCCGGGAGGGGGCTGCTGAGGCGGGTCGCGGAAGTGTGCGCAAAGCATTCCCGTGGCCCTGCTGATATGCGCCTAGGTGGGAACATCATGGGGGTCATCAGGCCCCCGCGGAGCAGATGGCCGTGGGCGGCGGTATCACTTAACATCAGGTGAACAGCATGCTCGCTTGGTGATTTTTCAATAAAAAAAAAGAAAAATGGCAACGCATTTCCAACCCTAAGTGTGTCGCAAATTTCCATGGACTTATCACCTAACATCAGATGAACCGCTTATCTTCTTACACAAAAAGAGTCCGATATGCGGACCATGATATATTGTCGCCGTCGTTGACTGCGAGCGACGGTCACCGCCGGTACACGGATGATATACTCGTATACCTAGAGTACATGCATTATTTTAGCCGTGCTTGTAAGCGAGGACGAACTACAGGTTTTAACGCAACGCGTGTGTTGTTCCATCTATTTTCTAATGGCTCATCAATTTTCTAACACAAGCGTTGAATGTTAAACACTGGACCCTAATGTTAGCATCAGATAGATGGACAGAACGGTATAAACCATCTCGAAAATTTGTTTTGTTTCTCGTGATTTTCATGCACTTTAAAATGATGAATAAACTTTTTTGTTTAAAAAGTTAATACATATTTATTAATAATTTTTAAAAAGAAAATTTCAAACATAACTTAAGACAAAATACTTTTTTGTTATTTTACATAATATTGAATGTAATAAACAAACGTTTTAAGAATAATATAAAAAAAGAAAAAAAAATCTAAAAAATATATAGTACTGATAAAAATTACCGCATCTGATTGGATAATTACCGACTAATATTCTTATTATAGTTTAGTTCACCGAAAAAACAAAGGGCTTTGTGTTTTTTGAAGTAAAAAAACTATAATGAATTTTGATAATAAGTAAATAATAACAGACAACTAATAGAATAAAGCCATAACTAGTGAAATAATACGATAAAACGTAAAATTCGTTTTGATAAAATATTACCTCAGGTGACACTTCTGCCTGAAGCTTAAAGAAAGCGCAGAAATGACGCAGGTTTTTTTTACTTCCTCGGAATTCTGAATAATTAAGGAATACAAAAATTATAAAAACTCAGCTTCGGCAGCTTTCGGCAACAACGAAAACTCCATTTGAAAATTATAAAGATGGTAAAATTCCTTGCTTCTCAACTATTTTTAATGTAGAAAAATATTTTACGTAAACTACTTAGTATCACATTTAGAATTTACAGATCTTAACCTTTCTAAAAATACATAGTACTCTTTAATTTTAATGAAAAACTTAGAAATTATCACGTCTCAAACTTCAGGAAGGGATGATGTAATAAGTAAAAAAATATAAAAGCTCAGGTTTTCTGTGCAAATTAATGAGGTAAATCGGATTTATATTTTATTTCATCCAGTCTATTCGATACTGGATACCTAACTAATAATACAGCTATACCACGATTTTGGCCCAAACCATTTTTGATATGGTTTACACCAGGGGTGGCCAACCGGTCGGGACTAGTAGTCCGGTCGTGGCAAGGCAAAAAATATGGATACATAGAACAGACTGCGCCACGTACATAATCACTAGCTGCTTCACCCATCATCTTGTATCATATTTCAAGATTGAAAAAAATTTCAAAATTGACACATCAAAACGAAATTATTACTCTGCACTGCGAAGTATTTCTAAAAGCCAGGTCATCCATAAGTCTAGAAATCTGGGCGTTGGTTTCGAACGAGAAATATCCAAATTTGAAGAAATTTGTTGAACAACAGTTTTGGTCCAACATATTTGTGTGAGTCGGCGTTTTCCTACTTAAAAAAAAAACAAAAACTAAACACCGTTCTCGCTTGACAGACGCTCATATATGAGACTCCTTAAGGTTAGGAATTTCCAACTACAAACTAATCTAGCGAAAGATGCTCAAACGCAATGCTCACACTAATGTAAATAAGTAGTTACCGATAATAATTTAAATATTAATATAAATTTCTTAATAAAATAAAAAATACTACATAATTGAGTACTGAACTTTTTATTTAAGATTTCAAGAAGTATGTAAATGGTCGATCGCATAGGGTGTCGTCAGTGAACAGTAGATCTTGGGTCTAACCAAGATGTCTCCACCGCTGGTTTACACCATCTGTCCCATAGTGCGCCCGTTTGAATCCCGCAGCCACGAAAAGGTTTTGTAAGAATTTAAATGTTTCAACTTAAGTGCAGAGGTGAGCACAATAAAAATTTAAATTTCAAATAGCAATGGCGACATTTCTCGTTCGAATTATTAACGTCGTTAAACGATATTTTAAATTGTTTATCTGCTATAAAGGAGATAGTAGGTAATAGATGCACCAAGCGTTGCTTTAAATGCAATAAATGTAGATAAAACGCGTTGAGATTCCGTCGGTGTGGGAATCAGCCGTTTAGCTTAGAGGTTAAAGCGTATGGGTCCGAATTCAGAGGACGTGGGTTCGAATCACGCATTCTGGAAAATTATAACGGACCATTAGTTTTCTATGAAGAATACGATATATTTTTCTATAGATATTACGTAGTGCTTTTTTATGTAGTGTAGAGATGGAGGTAAGTTTGGAGTTATTCTACAGCGCGTGTCATAGTAATGTACATAAATCCTTATATCTATGTGGCCTTAAAACTAGACCCCCTACGCCGGTCGGGTGAAAACGCATTTAGAATCACGAGATCTGGGCATTAAAAAAAAGGAGAAAGGGAACCAGAAATTTCTTTCAGACCAGCAGACTCCATTGGGCACGGTCTGAACGGTATGGATCGCACGATGCATACTTTATGTGAGGTGGTAAACGATCTGGCGATTCACCTGCTTTGGTGATGACTGCCTCCTATGGACATTTGCGGATGCGTTGCCACTATTTAATAAAGTGGGCCCCGGCTACCTCACTCACGTAACAGTCTCCAATGTTACACGAATAGGGAGGTCCGTCCGGGGAAGTACCACTACCTCACAGAAGACTGGCGTGAAGTGGAAGTATACTTTTTTTAAAAGTGGCAACCAAAGCCTGCCCATTCGTGCCACAGCAGAAGCTCCTGCGGTGGCCCTACCAAAGTAATTAAGTAACTTAGACAATAATTTAGTACTTGGTATAACAACAAATCTAAAAAATCCGACTAAAAGATATTTAAGTGGGGCTCCCATACAACTGACATGATTTTTTTTGCCGTTTTGACATATAATGTTACGGAACCCTTCATGCGCGTATCCGACTCACGCTTGGCCAGTTTTATTAAGACGCTGATATTAGAATTCGCGTAATTTTGTACAGACGAAGGGTGTTCTCCAGACGGATAAAACCCTTCAAACAGTTCACGACCTTAATACAAGGAGGCAGACATCGTTTTTCGTTACACGATAACAACATATGACACTTCCGTTCGTGGCTTTCTTAAATGCAATCAATACTTTCGTCTAGGCCACCCTATCTGGCCTATGGCGGTAATTTAAGCGCTTCATAATGCTATCTCTATTAGACAAAGATAGTAGCATACTCATTTTACTTATTTTGAACAAAAACCTGTTAATAGTATATTTATTATATATTTCTGTTATTATGTTATTATATATTTCTCTGAATATATAAGATATATTTGAATAATAACGTACTTTCTCAGACGAGGGATAATTGGTTTAGGTTTAAAGAAATTATTCTCTTAAAAACACAAAGTTTTACATAAAATGAGATACAAGTTACAACACACGATATATAGTTCATTTTAACCTCTGGAGCATTGTGGAGGACAAAAGCAGTAATATTAATTTGAGGATAGATGCAAGTATAAAATATCAATAAGCAAGTTGCGTTAAGGGTAAGTGTCCAAGTTAACCTGGATTCCCGTCTCATAACTTAATTCGAATTTGAATATAAAATATTTAAATAAATTTAATTGATTATCGTGTCATAAAACAAAAAGCACTTAAGCACGCAAGGAAACGTTTTAACACTCTATTCATCTTTATTCAATTATACTAATATCGATCAAAAACTTAGAATCATTGAAATATAATATAGCATATCATAAATAAGGGAGAACCGATTCGTAACTTTTGGAGATTAAAGACAAACAAATATCGCGACCACCCTTAATCGATTGCATCACAAAGGCGAAATAAACGCTTAGACACTTCTTGGTTTGTATGATTATTGAAGTTATACTATACAACGACAGTCGAAAAGCGACGTTCACTGTATTTCCTTTGTACTCGTATATAATATAACCAATAACAACTTTTTGATACTTACAATTACAAGTTATCTAACAAAATCTTTTTCAATTTCATTTAATGTCTGACAAGGGGTTGCGGAAAAGGTGTTGACAAAGGTGAGGTAAGAAAATTACAAACAAGTCCATTTTTTTGCAACAAAAATAAAATATCAAAAATCAAATATCTCGCTCTGTATTTATTTTACAATTGGTTGTCATTAGTTGCCCCCTTCTTTTTTTAAGTCGGTTGAAAACAGCATACCTACGGAGTTTCTCTCCGATAGGGGCAGACACATTACGCTCGTTACCGCATATTGGCACTCACCTTTTTCCAGCAGCTGCGCGAACATGTTCTGGACGTTGGTGTGGTGGTGTTTCCACCGGAGGCAGTACTGCTGGGGCACCATCTTCCGCACGCCTCCCCCCCCTCAGTGGTGTCTCGAGAACTTTAGTATCATGAAGGCAGGAAGCGCTCGAGAGGCTTCCGGTGGCTGTGGTCCGTTCCTCTAGGGTGGATCTCGGCACCTGGGACAGAGAGAGGAGCGAGTGAATGAATGAATATTCTTTATTGCACACCAAAATAAAATAAACGTTCACATGAACTTAATGTAGAAATGATGGGCACAATGGGCGGCCTTAGTACTAAAAGTGATTTGTTCCAGCCAATCTGTTTTGGTATAAAAGTGATTTAAATGGTAAGCTTTAAGGCATAAATACGCCTATTTGATATTTTTAGGGTTCCGTACCCAATCGGTAAAGCGGGACCCTATTAATAAGACTCCGCTGTCTGTTTATCCGTCTCTCACCAGCCTGTATGTCATGAGTTTTGATATTAAGACAGTTGAAATTATCACAGGTGATGTATTTCTGTTGTCGCAATAACAGCAAATACTAAAAAACACAACAGACATGATTTTTTTTGCCATTTTTATAGATAATGGTACGGAACACTTCGTGCGCGAGTTTTGTTCTATAGATATTATGGTATACTCGTACAAAATCAACGGTCGAAAGTGTACCTATTTCCAAACAGAATGACAGTACACATTCCGTTCGAATGGTATGAAAAGTATAGCATAATTAAAGCAATAAAATAAAAGAGCTTCAGATTAGCTTCAGATCTCGAAGTGTATCCGTCTTTCTCGTCTCCGTAATGAATTTATTTGCTGCCTCTTTCTTTGTTTCCTCTCCAGGTCCTTTGACAACACGTTTAGAATTAAAGGGACCTAATTTAAAAAAAATGATTTTGCCTTAATGTCAGAAAACGACCTAAAGTATTTTCGACTCTTACCAAAACAAGGGCCGATTTCAGCTCTCTAAGCTACATAACGTATACTTCTGTCCCTTTCGCTTCCCTCCAATCACCGCGTTTATTCATAAGTGCGCAAAACTTTATTTTACGTATCGCAAAAATTGAATTTTTTTTTAAATTGTTCACTGCAATTCTAAAGGTGTGAACATATTGGTTATATAAAATACTAGCGACCCGCCCCGGGTTCCCACGGGTATAATGTAATAAACGTATAGAAATTTCTCTTAAACTCTATCTAGTAAAAAAACCGCATCAAGATCCGTTGCGTAGTTTTAAAGAACCAAGCATACATTGGGTCGGACAGACAGCGGGACGACTTTATTTTATACTATGTAGTGATCATTGTAGGCGACCTTATAATTAGTCTGATTACTCTCAAATACGTATCAACTGCGACTTGGTCAGAGTGATACTCCTCTCAATGAGATATTTCGAAAAAGCTTTCCACCGACTTCCAAAAAGGAGGAGGTTTTCAATTCTTTGTTTGTCACCCCATAATTCCGTCATTTATGAACCGACCTTGAAAATTCTCCGTGAATTCATCCGTTGAAATATGGTAAAACAACATTTTCGAAGACAAATCTTTCCATCATACTCATACATAAACAACACGATTTATGTACGATTTATATACTAGGTACCCACATTGTCGAGTCATATAATAGGCACATTCTACATTAATAACAGTCATTCAATCGAAACAGACGGGAGAGCAATGCACAAGAGATAAGTAACCAAGTTATATACAGCGTGTCGTTATCATCGCGACAATAAATGAACACGCATATAGCGGATAACTTTTTAAAGTTGTATTAAACATTTAAATTCTTTAGACAAATGAACACGCATATAGGGGATAACTTTTTAAAGTTGTATTAAACATTTAAATTCTTTAAACATCAATATTTACAGAGTTATTAAATTTTACAAAACAAAGAATTTTAAAAGACCCTTACCTATAAAAGCGTAACGTAAAGTTCATTTGTAAAGGTCACAAAGCATATGAATGGGTTGAATGAATTTAAAAGAGACAAAACATAACGTTAGAAGGAGAGGCTTGTAATACGACGCTGTGACGCGAGTTACTTTGTTTGAAAAATATTTTTTTAAATTATGGCTTTTGTTTAACGTTAATATTTTTTTATGATTATTGGCAAGTAGCGTTAGACGTGTGTTCATTTATTGTGGCGGTGGTAACGACACGCTGTATACAGTTATATAATAAGTACAATGGCAGCAAGACGTCTTACTCGGAATATTGGGTTCCGCTACCAGGTTCTTCTTCTTTTTTTTTTTTAAACATTGCCCTTACTTTAGGATAACATTATCCTGTGTTGTACAACGTTTTACAAACATAAATTTCACGTAGACAAACACCCAGATGCGAAACAACTTTCTGTGGGTCACACATATAGGTGTGTGTGTGGGAACCGAACCCACGACCCCCCATAGCCAATACCTTGGCAACTGCGCCACGGAGTCATCAAAGGTTATTTTTGGCAGAGACATCGTCGCCTTGGTGGCATCACGTGGTGTCCGTCATGCTTTCCTTCTCCTGTGAGAATTGACAATTTCATTGGTGCTGGCATCGGGATTCGAACTCAGCTCGCTCGAGTATTTTTTTTTAGTGGCAAACGAGCCGGCGGCTCACCTGATGTTAAGGGATAGCCGCCGCCCGCGGACATTTGCAACGCCGGTTGCAGATGTGTTTGCAACCTCACTTTTTTTCAAGTTCCTTATTTTGTTAGAAGAAAAAAAACCGGGCACTTTATAAATTAAAAGCTAGCACCCGGCCACTGAGATATCGAGGCGCAGTTACTCCGGTATTTTTTCATGTGATAAGCTGGTAAGCTATCAGACCGTTCATCAAAATGTTCCGTAGTGCCACAACAAAGACTGTAGCGTGTACCTGCCACGGTATGAACGAATATAATATACGGGAATAGTCCAATGATACTTCGCCCCGTCATGTCCTTATTCATACGTGTTCTTCGTGGCAATATCAAGCGAGTAATTTAATGACTAGAGTTAATTTGTATATGTATTTTCTTAATTTATTAATGATATAAAATAATGAAAAATCTGGAATAAAACTTTAGCGAACTGGCGTCAACGTATACGTCGATGTTGCCAGTTCGCTAAAGTTTTATTATATATACTCCTCTGTAGTCCGTCAGAATAATTGCTTAGAATACAATTTGTACCCTCCACTCGCTCTTACAACTATCAACCGCATTCTGTCCCGCTCCGACGCTAGTGTACAGTTGCGAACAACGCTGCTATATAAATAAATAAATATTTAGGACACATTTTTACACAACATAGATTACTGATAGACATACTTTTCTTTTGTAAATAAATACATATTATACATATATAAACTGCTATTTGTGAATGGACTTTGTAATTTACCTTTTATGTTACTAATCATATACTGCCTTATCCCACCTAGGTGGGGTCGTCCACTGTGTGAAGCATGTTGTAAGCGTTTTGGGCAATGTTTTTAGGGCCGGTACCAGGTACCGTCTGGTATGACGTCAATCCTCGTTGGAAAACAAACACCCTGTTCCGGAACAATCGTCTGTGGGTCACACGAATACTTGGTCACACCTACCCGTGTGGAAATCGAACCCACGACATCATCAGCCGCCGAGTTATATCGCTAATGTTTCAATTTAAAGAGAACGCGAAAGATCATAGACCTTTTTGTTGTTTCCATATATGTCAATATAATTTGGCGAGGCTTTTAAGACAAGTATTATTTTTTCACTTAATGGAGATCGTAAATCAAACGAATAAACGACGATCGTGTTTTTATCACAAAAGCCGCAACTATAAAAACCAAAAAGCTCTCGCATAATCTTAATCCAACTTCATTTTATGCAACAGTTCCCAGATAAATGACTTTCACGACGTATCGACCGATCGCATTAATTGCTAGAACAAATTGTGAATCTCTCAATCTCAAATCTCGGTCCGTTTTCAATGCCACAGATTTCCCACGCCACTAGCGAAGCAATAAAAGACTAGATTAAAAATCAAATAGAAAAAAAAAACCAATCAAAACGAACTTAAAATCTAATAATAAAGGTAATTAATTAGTGTAATATTATAAAACTAAAAATGCACGTCACACGATACTAAAATAAACGCTGATCTGACACACAACGCGGCAAGTTTATTCAAGATTTTACTGCACACTATATATTATATTTATCTACATTTTTTTAAAATTCTAAGACTGGCTACACTTGACTGCCATCCCACCTGATGGTGAGTGGCAATGCAGCCGCTGATAGTAAGCGCGCTAGCCCAGTAGAAACCTTTTCACTCTTGCCTTGAAGAAGCCAACGTTGTATTCGGACGGAAAGACTGACGCAGGCTATTCCATTCCTTAGCTGTACGGACTAATTATTATAATAATTAGTCCTACTAATTAATAGTATTACATAATTCTTTTATTCGTGTGTACACGATTGAACTCCTCCTAAACGGCTGAACCAATCTTGAAGCAACTTTTTGAGGCGTTTGTGTGTGTGTGTGTGTGTGTGTGTGTGTGTGTGTGTGTGTGTGTGTGTGTGTGTGTGTGTGTGTGTGTGTGTGTGTGTGTGTGTGTGTGTGTGTGTGTGTGTGTGTGTGTGTGTGTGTGTGTGTGTGTGTGTGTGTGTGTGTGTGTGTGTTAAATATATGGGAGCGTGTGTAATGTTTTGTATATTAATTTAATGTATTTTTCATGCATAATTAAAGAAATATTAGCAATCTGAACTTCTTCTCTATGTAAACTATAACTGTGGGAAATTTCATTCATCGTAAAAAGGCGTACAATTTTTTTGCTTCACGTATTAATATATAGATTATATATTAATACGTGATTAAATACATACTAGAAAAACAACATGTTAAAAATATTTCGAGCCGTTACAACATGTTAAAATAATATTTTATAAGATATTTGAAGTCAGCCAATCCGAATAAGTGAAAACATTAAACAAAATCAAAATTATAATCGTATAATATTTAATTCTACATATTTTATAGGCACTCCGAACGATACTAACTGTATTTATATCATATCAATCTACAAATATATTTTTG